GGTCTATGATCTTTGCGACGCCGATTTGCCACTTGAAACGTTAGATGTCAATCAAAGCGGAACGATTGATTTCTTTGTACTGCGCACATTACACGGTTATACATTTATCGGAAATCTTTCCCTCACAATGTATTTCCAGTCGTTCTTCTTAAGGATATTGCGAATCCTCCTATTTTCGATAACAGCCTTCCCTAACGCAGCAAGCAAGCAATTTTCTACGCTCACCCTATGAAACGGATGACCAGCATTGCAAAGCGCACAAAGAGATTTCTTCATTCATCAAATCTGGATATGACACTATCTTCTCCTCCAAGTGCTCACAACGGCATATGTGCTTTGTCTGATTCTAGCATGATTTCATCCGTCAGAAAGTTTACGGTGAGAGTTTCTTTTCTTCCTCTTTGCAGTGAGCATGTCCCCTTGGTAGATGTAACATGGAAAAACGTAATTTCGGCTGACGCAAGCAGAAATCCGTCAAAATAGTTTGACCTTTCGCTCGAGATCATTGAGTGAGGTCTGAAATCATCTTAGGATTTAAGCATGACGCCATTCAGTGACGAAGAGCGTGTTTTCAGGAACAGCGCCAGCCATTTCTTGAACAACTTCATCGCCATTTCTTGTATTTGCTGCTGAGAGTTGGTCCGAAGAAATTCTTTCATTGCCAGGTGCCTGGACTCACTTCCTAAAATTCTGTCGCGTCTGAAGAATGCACATCTTCTGCTTGCAATGACATTCTACGCTTAGCATACAGAACTGCTGTTTTGCCTGGACCGAATTCAATTCTGATTGGCCGATTAAAGCTCAGATACCAGCTCGAACCTATCACAAAGTTTCCTTCCATTTCTGACATATTCCATTTCATTTCTGGCATTTCTTCCATTTTAGGTCATTCATGTAAAAAATGAAGGCCACCTTTATAGGATCCCTCTTCTCGATAACAGGATAATATGCTGACTTGCTTAACAGCCTACTAAAAAAGTTAAACACTAAACAGAACCGAACGAGGGTGTGAAACAGTCTGCATAAAAGTGCATTTTCTGATACGGAGAGTCTCTGTCCAGTTCAGATACGGCTGTTTTAACACGTAATCGCGTTTGCCATAATTCATTATATCTGTCGTGAAGTTAGCCATCAGGGCAGCGATATTGTCATCGCCTCATCATTGTACATTCACGGCACTCAGTGAGGGATCAGTCAAATTTTTTCAGATAATCAGCCAATCCAAATGATGCGGGTAATGAATGGTTAAAAAGTGAATAAATTATTATTAGCTGCTTGCAGCCATTTCGTTCTACATTTAACGGTCGGCAGGCACATTAATGGCAGAGAGTTTTTAGGTTCAGTAGTAAGCAACAAATATGTTACTCGTTCAGAGAGGAAGTTCGGAACGAGACTATGATTATCTAATA